ATCGGGGTCCTTTGGTGGAGTCGGTTCTAGTTTTGGAAACTCCTCTGGGTGAGCTTCCTTGTATCGCTTTCGGGCAAGTCTTTGCCTTTGGCTCACCATTGTCGAGTACTGGCTTCAGAGAGGGAGACGGTTGATTCCACCGGCGGCGATAAAGGAGGCAGTGGAGACGAGAAAGAGACGAAGGAGGTTCTGGTTCGTTAGGGGATTGTTTTCTTTGTAACGGGCTTGGCCCAATCTTAAATAGGTCCAAATCCTTTAGGCTTTTTAGAGTTTTAACACGATTGCATTTGAAGAGCGATTTGAATCAGCATTTCGATACTTTGTGATCATACTAAAAGCGGAGTTAATGTCTAGTGAGTAAGTCAATGTCTAAGAAACTTCAGTTATACCATGTAGTTTTTTTTTATTTTAGTTGTACTCCAATTTTTACAGTTTTACCAAAGTTTACCCATAATAGTACCAAATAGAAAGGAATATTCTAAACAATAGAGGAATACGGTGGAAAGTGTGGCTACTGATGTATAAACAACCCGAGATACTTTGGCGTTTTCGTTTCGTTATTATTGAAGTCAACAACGAATATGGCGTCTATTAGGAATGAAGTTTAGAGAGAGAAACACATTTTTGATTATTAAAAACGTTTTCTATTTACTTCATTAATTACAAAGAATCGTATACAACGTGTATATACACAATAACTAAACCAATAAAGCTATACCAAAATTGATTTACAAATGTATAGCTAAACAGAATAGTAAACCCAAACCAATGTTAATAGCGTCCAACGATGACAACAAACAATATCAGTCAAAATCATGTTCTTTTCGTAATTTTTGGTTTAACAATAGATTTTGGCAAAAGAAAGCTAAATGATTTACCAATGACAATGATAAAATATATTTTCCATTACAATTTGGCTTTGATTGGTATGGCTCATAGTAGAATAGTAATATAAAGCAGTATTAGCAGTATTGCTGTTGGAACATTATACTCTGATTAATATGCATATTTTAAGTAATTTGCAAATATATTTATAAATTATTAAATTTAAATATTGAAGTTAATATTTTATTTTAAAATAATAGAACATATAAAATTAATTTTATTATATTTGATGT